AAACAAGAACCATCTTCTGGAACTCACAGAAGCAAGAGCTCATCGTCCTTTTGTCACCAGAAGCAGAATTCATCGCAGCAAGTGCAGCAGTTCGTGAAGGACTCTACCTCACGGAGCTCCTACAGGAAACGAAAACAGCGATGAACGGGCCGTTCAAGTTACTTTGCCACAACCGTAGCGCGATCAAAATCACGAACAAACCCGGCTTCGTCAACCGCACGAATAACATCGCCCTGCGTTACTTCCTCGTCAAGGACGAGATTGACAAAGGGAAGGACCAACTCACCAATTGTCCAACTGGCAAAATGGCAGCAGCTTTTCTGACGAAGAAGCTGCCACGTCAGAAGTACTAGTACTGCGCGGACCTCTAGGAATGAAGGGGAGTGTTGGAGTAAGAAGGGAATCGACTTAAGCATTCCCGTAGGTGCAGCTGTATCGCACCCATCACTATCGAAGCAGCACTAGTAGCAGTATCGGATCAGCCTGTACAAAGGCAGGAAGGTCAACAGTCGCAAATGTCAACTATTGCGACTGTTGACCAGCTGGGCCGAACGACTCACCAGCGAGGAATGGCAACAGGCGTAACTATCCATGCAGTTACACGCAACGACTCAATAATGAGAGAAGAGGTCAGAGCCACTGTAGAACTGCCTGTAAAATAGTTAAAATAAGGGAATGTACCCCTTAGAGTACATGGCTAGCAGGATCTATTTATTGTGTGTAATTTCATCCTTTAATCAATCTTGTTATTTACATTCACTATGCTCAAGGTTCCTACCACAGGACTTCCGCTACCAAATATCTCAAAGGCAGACCTATCCTATCCGAGATCCTCACTCAAACACAAATCTAAAGGGAACCCATATGATTAGAGTACAATACTGTGGGGATGCGTTACAATGTTTTGCGTCACAAACGCCCAAAACCGAGTCGCGCTCGCCAAAAAATTGCCAAATTTGGTGAGCGGGACTCGGCATTTTGTCAAATTCCCGATATATAGTTTGATGACTGAAAGCTCAACAGAAGGGCAAGAAAAGACACGGTTCAGATAGATGAACTAGGTTATGAAAACAAATATACACGACTTGCTACATGTGTGTGTCAAGATTAGGTTTAAGGCTAGGCAGTTTAGAAGAAAGAGGGGTTTCACTACCATGGAGGAGGGGGTTCTTGGGTTGAGGTTAAGCCCTAGGATTATGCATGTCAAATGTTATATTGAGAAAGCTTGCTTTCTTATTCTTATCAATTGACATCGTTCTCATTACAATCGGGCATTGTTCTCATTACAACTAGCTTATTCAACATCTGCATTAAGATCGAACACAAGCTCGTGCATGCTAATACCACTAGCTAAGTTATACCCTATCCTGTCACAATAGCAGGCAGAACGAGGAGCCATAGCTAGGGTTTAGCTAGCTAGGCAAGAGAAAATAGGCAAAGGAGGGGTTGCACTAGCAAGCAGGTGGATACATATAGGAAACCCTAAGGGGCCGTACTCACTAGAGAGTACCACACTGCAGGCTAGACAAACTACACATTCTGACATATCCAAGTGGCATTAGCAAGGTATTTACGATGGTGTCAGGGCTGTTTTTATCAGTGTAATTACCCTGATTTTAGGGTAATTTCAGACCTTCCACTTTGTGGAGACCGAAATTTCAGAATTATTGAATTCATAACCCTGATCCAATCAGAGTAATAGTTTTCCTATCCCTGATTTTGAGTATAGTATACTAGACTCTCATGTTAGTGGTTCTTGACTTAAGAGAGTATCTGTTAACAGCTATAACGTTATGCGGAAGCGATTAATGCTTGAAATACAAACTTTGCTTGACAACACTTAACTTCACTTGCAGCCCTTCGAGTGTGACAGCTTGTCACCTCCTAGCCAAGGGCGTGAAAATAGCAATTGAGTAGTTATGCCTTGCTCAGCTTGTAGGACGAGCAAACTGGTCGAGGAGAATTTCGGCAGCACCAAGGTAATCTTTCTACTCTCGTCAATACGAAGTAGTAGAATTGCGAGCTTGAAAAACGCGAATGCATTGAATTAATTTCGACAGGTACAAGCACACATTTATATAGATTCTACGCACAGGCAGGAGCAACTAGAAAACAGTTGTTTAACTAACTCGCAGGATTTCGCCACGCTGTATCTTGAAAACGGTTGCACAACTCCTTGAGCACTTGGCTATATCCTCCTGTTGTTAAAACTGTCTTCAAATTGCACTTGTAACAATTGCCCCTGCTGACTCAAATGTGTACAGTCATGAGACTCGCATGTGGCTCCAATGTAGCTCAAATGTCTTCATGCGAGCTCACAGTTATATAACGGTTTTTACCGTTTGAAAAACGGAGTAACAGAATTGCACCTGTGACGAAATGATTCCGCAAAGCGGAATTACCTTCGCGAGAAATTTCGATTCCCGTGAGTCAGCACGGGATACAGTTTTTCAACTGTAATCCCGAGCACCCCCTCGTGCCACACGCACGACCGAGATTTTCTCTCGGTCGTGTTGTACAGCGCGGCATGGTCGAGATCATGCGCGTGTACAGTGCTGGACAGGGCCGAAACGTGCCCTGTTCTGTTGCGATCGTGCAGTACAGTGCACGCGCAACAGAATCGGTCCACACGCCCGAGCCCTGAGGGGCCACACGCGCGTATCTTGACCCACGCGTGTGTCTTGACTTTCGCGCTTTTGACCATCGCGAGAAAAGTCAAGGCACTCCTTGACCAGTCAAACATTCGAGCCCCCCCAGCACACCGTTCACTCACATAAACCTCGTATGAAATATTCGAGGCTTATGGAACTTCAATGAGCCTCGCATTACACATTCGAACCTCATGGGTTGCTCGCATGAACCACACATTAAACATTGAAGTCTCATGTGGATTTCATGAGAGCTCATTTGAGCTTCATGTGAACCTCATTTGAGAGCTTCGCGTGAGCCTCATTTGAGCGCTTCATGGGAGCTTCACGAGAACAGTGAAAACAAAACTGAAAATGCACAAACACAAAATGCACTTACAAATGAAAGCGAAACAAAAAAAACGCAAGAACAAATGCGCACAGAACGTTCACAAAATGAAAATGAAAAATGCGCACACACACAAAATGCAAAATGCGACCCAGGCGGCTGGTTGACATGCCAAAACTAATTATTTTTCACCCAACAGTATCGACTCTGTGGTCCCTGACTTTGACCTTATCGAGAGGAAGTTTCTTGGAAAATTCCTTCTGATAACCCTGCCTTCGGATTGGTCGCAGTACAGCCAGCGCTTGAGCAGCGCACAGCAACATGTCTGACAGGTGAATACACTCTACGTATGTTAATTTCACGAAGTTCGAAAAGGTTGGTTGTATTGTCATAATTGCGCGTGCGTGAAGTTACCAAACTTTTTTTTAGCGTTTTGCACAACGAAGTTGGCAAATTGCGGGTAATCGGCGAATATATAATCTTGGCACATCTGTGGTATCGAACTGTTTGGTTGACCGAAGTCGCTCGTCTCTTCCTCGCGCTAAAACGTGTGGATAAATACAATTTTGTCAAAAGTAGAAGAGTTGCGATTATGCAGAGTGATACATTTTTTCCCGGTAAGCAAAGAGCACGTTACTACTCTGATGTTCAATTATCGACCCTGAACAATTAGAGTTCACTACTTCTCAACACTGAGCAATCAAGGTGCTGTTGTTTTGGGAAAAGTGCCTTCAGGGTAATTTGTTGTTGCTTTTTTTTTTTAGGTGGAACTCAGGGTACCTAAATTTGAAACGTCAGCCCTGGCTGGTGTGGGTGGTGGGAATGTTGAATGAGCGATTTGAAAATAGAGAAACGTGGGTGGAGGGAAATGAACTCCAACCCACGGTTTTTGTAGTTGGAGAAGGGCGTTTAGCGTTCTTCGACGATGTCAATTGCCCAGTACAAGCAGCTTCGCTCTTACAATACAAAACAAATAACACACAAAGTGTGGTAGTATTTGTTGATAGTCTGTAGTGAGGCGTGCTCTAGACAGTACAACCCACTTAAGGTTTCCCATATGCACCCAACCCTGTGCTAGTTCATTTATTCCGCTGTGTCATACTTCAACATGCACACCCCCCGTTGCCGCTCGCTGCCGCGCGAGCGCTGCCCGCTGCCGTCTGCGCACTGCCGCGCGCCGCCCGCTGGCCGGCCCGCTGTAGCCCGCGAACCGCTCGCTGCCGCCATCTGCCCGCTGCCGCCAGCTACCGGCTGCTGGCCCGCTGCCGCCCGCTGGCCGCCCACTGCCACGACGCCTGCAGACGCGCTGCCCGCCGCCGCGCCGCACTGCCTGCTGGCGTGCCGCGCCACCCTGCCTGCTGGCGCGCCACGCCTCCCTGCCGAGCCGTGCCGTGCCGCGCTGCCCTACCAACCGCCGTGTTGCGCCGTCCTACCTATTGCCGCGCCGCTTCACGCTGCCGCTCTGCCAGCTGTCGAGCCGCCCACCTACAGCCGTGTGTTCGTTCTCCCACTGCACCCAGAGCTGCCGCCCGTGCCTAGATCTGCAGCTAGTTCCTAGTGCGGCTGACTGACCTAGGGTCTGCCATGGCGATCATCACTGTTCTAGCGTTTGACGCAGAGGGGCGCTCTATCGAGTTTGACTCCTGACTGGGGGACCTGCACTTGTACCTGCAGAGTGTCACCAAGGACGATTTCTTGCTGTTTGAGCATACGTCGGGGTTCATCAAGGCCCCCAAGCCTCCAGTTGAGCCTTCCCCTATGATGCGGAGGATGTGCAGAAATGGTACGGGGCTGACCGCATTGTCTGCAACCAGTGGACGTCGCGCGACGCCGCTGCTACACTTGCAGTTCGCGCTCACCTCTGGCCTGACCAGAGGGCCCGCTTTCGCCAGGTGACGTTGGCTCAGGACTTCTATGCTGCTGCAGTTAAGCGCTACTCCTCCCCCTTATCTGCCACCCTAGGCCGTCTTGCGCTGCCGTTTCTCTTCCTTGAGCTGTCAGATTCCACCGCTGTAGCTGACCCCATGACCCATCTGCGCTCCCTTGGCCTCACTACCGTGCTGCTCTCCCGCCAGCATTTCTCGCTGAGAACCAGCCCCTCAGGTACCTCACCCTGTACTTCCTCGTGACTCACCTCCCTGACACCCTTGGTGTTGTTCGAGGCCAATTTCTCGCCCTAGACCCCACTAGTCTCACCAATGACTCCTTTGAGACTCGTCTCCTCGAGGCCGAGACTAGTGCCCACGCTGTCGCTGCTTCTCGTGGCACCCCCAGCACCTCTTTATATAAGGGTGCGCGCCTGTTGCCTCTTCTGCTGCTATTGACTTCCTCGGTGCTGAGGAGGTCGGTGCGGCGTCCGCTCCTAGCGGGAGGCGCAACAGGGGTGGGCGTCAGAGGACTAGGGGTGGTGGAGGTGGCGGAGGCCGTGGGGGGGCGGGGGTGGTGGGGGTAGCGGGGGTGGCGGGGGTGGCGGAGGAGGTGGGGGTGGTGGTCGTGGTGAAGCTGGCGGGGGTGGTGGCACTGGTGCGGCGTCTAGTGGAGCTGCGTCTGATGAAGCAGCAGGTGAAGGTGGCGGTTCGAGGGGTGGACTGCAGCAGTCGCGTCGGCAGGAGAATCCCTTATCGTAACATTTTTGTGAGTGGGTTGCTCAGCGGGGCTCCACAGGCGGTGGTGGCTCTGCTACTAGCCCTCGGGCCGGCGTCGCCTTGCGGCAAGTTGGGGCACGGTGAGGCTCGTTTCAGCCACATCGAGGACGCCTTCCGTGGCGAGTCCAGTGAGCAGGTCAGTGTCCCTAACTGGTTAGGATTGCTCACGATGGGCATTGATATATTTTTGCTTGATTGGGACAAGATCTCAAAAGGCATGTATGCCATGTATACTGCTGGTGCTAGTGCTGAGGTTGACTATTATTCTTGTGTACCTAGGTCAATTTGTGTAGAGGATGCTAGTGTAGGTTCTTGTGAGACTACTAGCACAGGTGCATTCCCTGCAAAGGCGTTGCACCATCGTCCCACCACTCTCGACACCTGTCCCTGTCACTCTGGCCGACCCCTCTTCTGGACCAGTCGTTGCGCGCAGCTCCACTACTTTCTCCCGTGACTTGCAGTCCCCTCTAGCTCCCTCACAAGTCTCCACCTCCCTCCCTTCGTCTGCACTCTGGCCGTAAAGGTGACTTTTCCTCCGGCCTCGTTGAGCACTGTTGTCGTGAGGAGGGCAACACTCAATCGTTCACGATTCCGGCCTTTCCACAGGAGAATGGGATCGCTAAGAGCCGCATTGGCCTACTCATAATCCATGCGGCTGCTCTCTATTCCAGTGGCTATTTGCGGTCCGATACACCGCGCATCAGCTCCACCTCTGGCCCCGTGTCCCAAAGCGAGATGCCTTGCCTACCCTCCTTGGACGGGGGAGGGTGGCGATGCGTCGCAGTTTCGGGTGTGGGGCTCGCTTGCCCTTGCCCGCGATCCTACCGCGGACAAGCTCTCTCCCTGCACTATTCGCTGTGTCTTCCTTGGCTTTCCCACCGACGCCCCTGACTGGCAGTTGTACCACCCAGCCACCCGTCGCGTCCTTTCCTCCCGAGACGTCACGCTCGATGAGTCGGTCTGCTACTAACGTCTCTACCCCCACCGTAGTTGCCCCGTGTCCCCCTCCCCCCGCCTCTCTTCCTGGTACACAGTTCGCACCTGGGAGACCCCCTCCCCCCCCGTCCTGCTCCCTCAGGTGTGTCGCGCATCACCGCACTCCCCTCTGTTGTGCCTTTGGAGTTCTCCTCAGACTCCTCTGGCCCGGCTTGGAGACACCTCCAGGTTTTCCGTCTCGGACGTGTTCTCCTCCTCTGCAGCATGTCGCTACAAACTCTGGGGGACCTGGTGCCGTTGGGGGTGGTGACGCTGGAGGTTCTGGTTCTGGGGGTGCTGACTCTGGGGCTGCTGGTTCTAGGGGTGCTGACTCTGGGGGTGCTGGGGGTCCTCTAATTGGTGGGGTCGAGGGTACTGCTGCTGGAGTTTCTGGGGGTGCGTTGCGGCCACTGCATCAGCGGCCGTGTTCTGGTAACGGTAGCTGTCTTCTCGTTTTTTGTACTTTCTGCACTCTGATATATATCTATACATGTTGTGTACACTTGCTAGGTTGTGATAATTATCCTGCTTTGTTGTTGTACCACTGCATGTGAACTGGCCTTGAGGCCGCTTACTTGTGCTCGGTCTGTGTGGTGAATTTGAGATTTTCCCTGAGCTTTCCCTTGTTGCTTCTTTTGACTGGTCTTGTAAAGTTTGCGGTGCTTACCATCCCTCACTTAGCCTGTGGGGGTGTGTCAAATATTATATTCGTTGATAGGCTGTAGTGAGGCATGCTATAGAGGGTAAAACCCACTTAGGGCTTCCCATATGTACCCAACCCTGTGCTAGTTCATTGATTCCGCTGTTTCTCACTTTAACTGTAGAGACTTGTCTTGGTGTAATAATGCAGCAGAAGACTGGAATTCATGTGTTAGTAGTTTGAGAACAAGAATTTATAGAAATAAGGAAATACAAGAAATATATTGTTGTAGGAATGTACGTATTCGTAATGTACCTGTTCACTAACCATACTATTTTATCGAGTCGACTCTCAAGCGATACTTCTATGGTATTGTTGTGTCACGCGAATAGTTACGAGACTACATGATTTTTTTTTTTAGTTTACGAAAGATTATAGCATACAAAGGCATCCTTAGTCATAACTGAAGTCTAGGGAGGTGAATTATCTACATTGTAGATGCACCCTCCCACATCCTCTCTATGGCGATTCAAAGGAGATAAGCGGGTCCTCCCAGATAGCCTTAAACTCTTCTCTCCACACCAGAATGGCACCGCGCTATAAAGCCTATTTAGCACTACTGCCTCGTCCTTTGCCAAGTGTTCCCATTCCCTCGTGTCGTCGTGGCTCCCCCATCCTGTTTGTTTCTCCGTGCTTTATTATAGATTCTTATGTGGCGTGTAAACTAGACGTTGATCTGCCTCATGACCCTATTTGTGAGAGTACGACGGCTTATGCCAGATATGCTTGCTTGCCTTTACTTTATTATGTTATTTCTAGCATAGGATACTTATATGCGTGCATGAATTGCTTGATTTCCTAGGCTAGGTGCTTTCCTATATTTTATTATTATTATAGCACCGAGCTAGGTTGCGTGCACTGAGTTCTGGCTTTTCGGTTGTCAACGAATTGCCTTCTACCGAATTCGGGAAGGCTCTGTTCGGGACGCTTCGCGACCCTCAGAACCTTCGCGTGACACCTGGTTATGGGGCCTTGTGTCGAGCCTATATATAGCCTCGTATTGTACCAAGGTGATTCATTCAATTACAACTCTCTTTTCTGAGCTCGATCCTAGATCCTCACACTTGGTATCCAGAGCCTGTTTACACGCGAAGATTTCGACCACTGAAAACTAGCTTTTAAAACCGCGGGGGCGACGACGGAAAGCGCCGATTTCGGGCACGTAAACCAATTCCGCGCTATTTTTTAACGTCCCCCTCGAACCGGTTTTCGAACACTCCTCAGGTCCAGTTGCGAATTAGTTGGTATTTCGACCGTCGGATCGATTCGAATCTCAACGGCCCTGAGAATTTCGCCCAAAAGGTTGGAATTGGGAGCGTCGGATCGAATTTCTTATCAACGGCCGAGATCGGACGCGAATTTCGACCAAGGGAGAATTACGCGACCTACAGAATCAGCGCTCGTCATTTCTACAGTCGATTCGACTCACAGTAAGATGACCAGCGCGTAAATTTATATTATTTTCGTCGCAAATCTTCCTGAAAATTGCCAAATGGAGGAAAATGGTGATAATTCCGTACGAAAAAATACGGAGTTACACACCGACGTGGACCATACGCGAGCGGCACTCCAGCAAATAGAGGCGCTTCTTGCGAACCAGTCGGCAGCCGCCATAGCAGCAGCGAACGCAGTAGTGAATGTAGCAGCGACGGCAGCAGCAGCAGCAGCGGCGACACCGACACTTCATCTAGCAGCAGCGGCAGTGGCTACAGTGAATCTTGAGGCGGCACGTCCGAGGCAACCGGAGACGTTCAATCCGAATGCGAGAGACACCGACCAACAGTTCCAGGGACGGCAGCTACCGCCACCACCACCTGTTCTCATCCAGGATGACCCTGAGTATGAAGTGGAGCGCGTTCTCTCTCATCGACGCTGCGGCGGCAAGACCCTCGAGTTCCTGATACGCTGGAAGATACGACCCCACTGAGGACAGTTGGGTTGCAGAAGCTGATATGGGCAACGCACGCCGTGCTCTCAAGGACTATCTTGTCGAGCAGGGTGTATCTCACGCCACCCAGCTGTGAGGGGGGGACGTGTGAGAGTACGACGGCTTATGCCAGCTATGCTTGCTTGCCTTTACTTTATTATGCTATTTCTAGCATTGGATAATTATATGCATGCATGAATTGATTGATTTCCTATATTTTATTATAGTTATAGCACCGAGCTAGGTTGCGTGCACCGAGTTCTGGCTTTTCGGTTGTCATCGAATTGCCTTCTACCAAATTCGGGAAGGCTCTGTTCGGGACGCTTCGCGACCCTAAGAACCTTCGCGTAACACCTGGTTACTGGGCCTTGTGTCGAGCCTATATATAGCCTCGTGTTGTACCCAAGTGATTCATTCAATTACAACTCTCTTTTCTGAGCTCGATCCTAGATCCTCACACTTGGTATTCAGAGCCTGTTTACACGCGAAGATTTCGACCACCGAAAACTAGCTTTTAAAACCGCGGGGGCGACGACGGAAAGCGCCGATTTTGGGTACGTAAACCAATTCCGCGCTATTTTTTAACATCCCCCTCGAACCGGTTTTCGAACACTCCTCAGGTCCAGTTGCGAATTAGTTGGTATTTCGACCGTCGGATCGATTCGAATCTCAACGGCCCTGAGAATTTCGCCCAAAAGGTTGGAATTGGGAGCGTCGGATCGAATTTCTTATCAACGGCCGAGATCGGACGCGAATTTCGACTAAGGGAGAATTACGCGACCTACAGAATCAGCGCTCGTCATTTCTACAGTCGATTTGACTCACAGTAAGATGACCAGCGCGTAAAATTATATTATTTTCGTCGCAAATCTTCCTGAAAATTGCCAAATGGAGGAAAATGGTGATAATTCCGTACGAAAAAATACGGAGTTACACACCGACGTGGACCAGACGCGAGCGGCACTCCAGCAAATAGAGGCGCTTCTTGCAAACTAGTCGGCAGCCGCCATAGCAGCAGCGAACGCAGCAGCGAATGTAGCAGCGACGGCAGCAGCAGCAGCAGCAGCGGCGACACCGACACTTCATCTAGCAGCAGCGGCAGTGGCTACAGTGAATCTTGAGGCGGCACGTCCGAGGCAACCGGAGACGTTCAATCCGAATGCGAGAGACACCGACCAACAGTTCCAGGGACGGCAGCTACCGCCACCACCACCTGTTCTCATCCAGGATGACCCTGAGTATGAAGTGGAGCGCGTTCTCTCTCATCGACGCTGCGGCGGCAAGACCCTCGAGTTCCTGATACGCTGGAAGGGATACGACCCCACTGAGGTCAGTTGGGTTGCAGAAGCTGATATGGGCAACGCACGCCGTGCTCTCAAGGACTATCTTGTCGAGCAGGGTGTATCTCACGCCACCCAGCTTTGAGGGGGGGACGTGTGAGAGTACGACGGCTTATGCCAGCTTTGCTTGCTTGCCTTTACTTTATTATGCTCTTTCTAGCATTGGATAATTATATGCATGCATGAATTGATTGATTTCCTAGGCTAGCTGCTTTCCTATATTTTATTATAGTTATAGCACCGAGCTAGGTTGCGTGCACCGAGTTCTGGCTTTTCGGTTGTCATCGAATTGCCTTCTACCGAATTCGGGAAGGCTCTGTTCGGGAAGGCTCTGTTCGGGAAGGCTCTGTT